TGTGTGTGTGTGTGTGTGTGTGTGTGTGTGTGTGTGTGTGTGTGTGTAGATCATATAGTTTAGGCCCCAATCTTGGAAATACTAACAAAGGAGTGAACGTCACACCCACAAGTAGTGCCACTGACTACAATGGAACGAATCACACGGATAAAGTTATGCATGTGTGAAAGTGTTTCTAGAATTAGGACCTTAGTTTTTATTCACTGATCCATTTTTTCCCCTTTAAATGCTGTGCAGTATCACTTGCGACAGTTACATTTGCGTGTTGTTAAGATGCACTGAGAAGGCAACATTAAGACTTGGGTCTAGTTTTGGGTTAGCCTTGGGTTCAGAGAAGCGGGAGAGGTAGTGGGAAATGGATCAATGAAAAGGCATCCCATGGCCTTCACTCCTGTCCACTCCTGGCAGTGATGAGAGATGGAACAGGCATTCCAGAGGGAGCAGAAGGGAAGGTTATGGGGAAGAAAGGGGATAGGTGTGAGATTAGTAAGGGGCAAAGCCAGTTTTTGGGGGGGGGGGATGCCAAAGAAAGGTGTGAGGGGTAGAGGAGCAGGGGCTGTTTTCTGATGACAGCGTAGGATCATTCATGTATTGATCCTCCAACCTTGGACCACAGTTTCCTCATTCACCTGGTGCTGACTGGTCTTATTCCCTGTTCGCGGAGCTCCAAGCCCCACTAGACCAGACCACACCTGAAGCTATAAAGCCAGTCAGCATGTCTTCACTGCACATCTGGAAGCGCCATCCCTAGTTTTGATGTCTGAGCTCCAGACTTGGGAGACCAGAGGCACAGATTTCAGTGACAGCTTCTTGCATTTTCCCCTGGTTTGGGGCTGCACTTTTGTAGCTCTTTAAAATTCCATTTTAATCTAAAGTGTTCTGAATACACAGGTAGAAGCAATGTTCATATGATGATTTCCCATGAGCCTTCAAGGTTTCCATACGGCTTTGGACTTGCTAAATAGTTGAACATTTTCACCTTCTGTTGCCTCCCCGGCATTGGGCTATTTTGATCCTAGGCCTTGAACTTGTTCCTTCTGAATGAACTGTGGAGTTTTACAGATTTCTAGTACAGACTGGAGACAGCAGTTCCCAGAGCCCTTGGTAATCATGTTCCAGGTTTATGAAAACCTTCTGCTTATGACATTAAATTACTTAAGCTGTGTTTATATATAAAAATAGGCTGAAGACACTTCTCTTTTTCAGACTTTTGCAATTAGTCTAATTCAACTCTTTCAACTATTTTGTTGAATTCTTAGAATTCCCATTAGAATTCTTGCCATGAAAGGCACTTTACAAATGTGTCTTATATGTAAACAGTAGTTACATACTTTCTTTTTATTTATATGATAACTATAAAATATGGAAAATAGATCTTGTCCAACTAACTTTATCTTTTTTTGATGAGATTACAAGTCTGGTTGATAAAGGTAATAGTATTGACATAATAAACTTCTGTAAGGCATTTGACTTGGTACTGCACAACATTTTCATTAAAAAACTAGAACAATATAAAATGTTACATGGCACACATTAAATGGATTAAAAATTGGCTAAATGATAGGTCTCAAAATGCAACTATAAACAGGGAATCATAATTGAGTGGGTCTGTTTCCAGTGGAGTCCCGCAGGGATCAGTTCCTGGCCCTACACAATTTAACATTTTTATCAATGACCTTGAAGAAAACATAACATCATCACTAATAAAATTTGCAAATGACCCAAAAATTAGGGGAGTGGTAAATAAGGAAGAAGACACATCAATGACTCAAACTGGGTGCAAGCAAACAATATGTGTTTTAATACAGCTAAATGTTGTTGCCTGATTTAAGGGGATGAATATTATTGCTTAGATAATATACGTTATAGGCTCGCTAATTAATGGACAGGTCCCGGGCCGTGAATTTTTTTTTTTTATTGCCCGTGACCTGTCCATGACTTTTACTAAAAATACCCATGATTACATTGTAGCCTTAGTCATGATGGCTAATTAGCTGAACATGAGCTCCCAGTGCTATGCTGTGGCCAAAAGAGCTAATGTGATGCCGGGATACATAGACATGGGAATCTCAAACCGCAGTAGAGAGGTTATTTTACCTCTGTATTTAGCAGTGGTGCAACCACTGCTGGAATAGTGTGTCCAGTTCTGGTGCCCACCATTCCAGAAGGATGTTGATAAACTGCAGAGGGTTCAGAGAAGAGCCATGAGAAAGATTAAAGGATTAGAAAACCTGCCTTATAGTAATAGACTCAGGGAGCTCAATCTATTTAGCTTAATAAAGAGACAGTTCAGGGGTGACTTGATTATAGTATAGTATAGTAAAGACCTACGTGGGCAACAAATGTTTAATCATAGGCTCTTCAGTCTAGCAGAGAAAGGCATAATACAATGGCTGGCAGTTGAAGCTAGACAAATTCAGACTGGAAATACAGCCTACATTTTTAACAGTGAGAGTAATTAGTCATTGGAACAATTTACCAAGGGTTGTGGTACATTCTCCATCCCTCAGAATTTTTAAATCAAGATGGGATTTTTTCTAAAAGATTTCCATTTTGGGAAAGGTCTATGGCCTGTGCTATACAGGAAGTCAGACTAGATGATGACAATGGTACCTTCTTGCCTTGGAATCTATGAATGGCACCGTGTGACGCATTAGTTAAAATATCTTTTTTGTCATGATAATCGGTATGAGTTTTAATAATTGTTAAACCCTGTTAGAAGATGGTAAATATAAACTACTGCAAATGGATTAATAAACTCCTCAATTAAATGGATCACTCTAGATTGAGGATCAAGGCAAACTTAGTTTGCAACAATCTTGGTCAGTTTCTTCAAACTCTCTTAGTCACAGCATCCAAGCTAGCCAGAAACATTAAATATAATGTAAAGACTTAAGGCTGGAGTAGGGCCTTTCTCTGCAATTAGTCCCACTGACTTCAGTGGAGCTACTCACAGTCTAAGGTAGTGCATAAAGGGTCGCAAAATAAGCCCCTAAATTATCTATCTCCTTATCATTGACTCAGATATGTGGTTTTGGCTCTTGGACTTAATAAATCCTCAAGCACAATATCCTTTTTTTTTTTTTTT